GCACACCCCGCACAGGCGCAGACTACGCGCCGTGTTCAAACAGTACTCCTTGCCTATATTCTGTGCCAAGTTTAAAAGATACGTTTTAAAGACTAATTATAAAATTATCAAACAATCATAATTTAATTATAATCTGTATTTGATTTTTAGTAAATGAATCTAGTTTTGTATAAAGTCTAAATTGATAATTGCCACCAAATTACCCAAAACACAATTTAATACACCTATAAAGTTATTCTTCAGTGATTTATGTATGCAATGTAATGTCTATTCATACATTTTTAGGCTACTTTAGAAACTGGTATACCTAATATGCGTAAATCGCACACGAGTTGGTTTATGATTTGATATTTTTATAGACAAAAATGGCAAGGAAATAAAAATAAATAAATGAATAACCATTTTATTGCCATAAGAATTACAAAACAAATATACATTTGTAACAGCGTTAACATAAGGAGATATTAGCTAGTCGACCATCACTATACACTAGTTATAAAGATAAAAACACGTAAATAAAGATAGAAACGGTCGTTAGGACTTGTATCCATAGGCGGGGAGGAGGGCAAGCGCAAGCCGCGCAAATCAAAGTCTCAGGTGCGCGCGCCAAAGTCCGAGCTCAGCAAGAAGCGCAGCGGCAGCCACGACGACCTCCTCTACGAGAACGCGCCCCGCAACAGATCCCTCTGGCACTTCTTCTCCCCCGACAGCCCCCACCACTACGACACCGTCTACGATATAGACGCAGTCGAAAAGGGTAGAAGGAAAGTCACACATGATGGCAAAAGAAATTTCTTCAAAACTATCCGATCAAATAGTCTCCTAACGGGCACCCTCACATCGGAGACGACGCAGTTGTTAACGGACGATGATATGTGAATAAACTCCAAAATCTTCTTGTTCAAGAAGATTTAAAAGAGTTTGATGGCTCAAAATTTTAAGTTTTAGATGCAGACATTAAAGAAATATATAGAGTGGACAGAGAATATTTTTTCACCGGTAACTTCTTTGAATGGTACTATGTCAGTCAAGTACCTCATGTCCTTTATGTTATAAAACAGTTTATAAAATTATAAAAAGCTCCTTATTTTATTATAAAATAATTTAAACAGTGTCACAAAATAATTAAATACAGTAAATTATATTATTGTGGTTTTGAAGATCTATTAATAGAGAGTGTTTTTAAGGACCATGTGAAAAATATCTCAAGTGAAGTGTCAACTATGCTCCCTCTATATGTTTTTTTGAATCTCTGGTTGAGTTATCCAGAACTGATGTACAAATGTGTTGCCATATAAAACATATCATTTTACTAACACATTCCTCGTACTCGCATTTTTAATCTGGATTTTTTTTTTAATTTCTTTGCGCCACAAATTCTTAAACCTTTTTCGACTGCCGTAGTTATTATGTTTAGAATGTAAATAAGCTTTTAAGTTCCATGGATTTGAGACTAGGTATTACAATTAATAAAAAAAATAAAAAGACTTATTTTTAGGTTATCTAGCTCTAGTTTGTACCAGTGCTCGGCCACATTTTTCTATTTTTTTTTTAAGCAGAAAATTAAGTAGAATTGATATTCCTAATATTTTTTAAAAGTACACAGTTTTATTGCCAGTTTAAATAAATTATGTATTTCATTTGGTATTTTTTATGTTTATTTTATAGATTTTTTTTATGTTCTCTATTTTTGCATTTGTATCAATAGTTACAGATTAAATAAATGTTATTGATTCCATTGTGGCCAGCATTTATATTACCACTATAGTGTTGTCGTAATTAGTTGATATTTAGACTTTCTAGGTTAGTTTAGGCGAGAATGTTTTTAAAAGACTTACGTAATAAAATATTTACGTATTGACTGATGACAAATTAGGATCTTGCCAAATTTTGTGCGATTTGCAATGAAATTTAGGAAGAAACCATTAAAATTGAAAAAAAAAATATAGAAAAAAAATCAAGGTTTCTTCTCGAATGATCTTTCATTGCGATTAGTGAATTTTGTTCAGCATTTTGTTTGACATGAGGTTATTTTTCTAATGTCCGCCATTTTGTTTATTGCTGCACTAAAGGGACTTCTCAAGACAATCTTCCATATCCTTGTGAGTATTATTTACGTATATTTATTCCAAATTTTTTGATAGTTCCAGAATATTCTTAGTGTTCGCGTCACAAATTTTTCGTTTGCCGTTAGTTGGCAGGCATTAGGAAAATTTAGTTTTAAACTCGATTAGCGCTAGTAATCTCCAATATGTGTGTTAGAAATTTGTGTGTGTGTGCTTTGTTTAGTTTTTTTTTCAAGTATCGATTGTATAGACAATATATCTGGCCCGGTGTTGCTCACCAGCGCTCTACTATTTTCTATATGTAGGTTTTATATAACAGTAGCATTACACCGGGTTTGATATTCTTGTTAATACGTTTTTTTCTAAGTATCGAATTGATTTTTTTTATGTAAATTGTAAGCATTTGTTTGCTTCCAGCCTTTTTAAGTTAAGAGCTATGCATGCTTAGCAGTTCATAGTAACGCTATACGGTACAATTAAGTTATATGTATGTATTTGTCCGTACTTACTTTATGATTAGATAGTGTATGCTTATCTCCATCATATGGCACGCTTTCAAATGTTTACAATGATTCTAATAATGTCTTTGGAAGTCTACGTGATTATGTCATATGCTTATTGACAGTTGAAACTGAACAGTTGTGTGCGTGTGTAGGCAAAATTTTATCTGTCAGTTGAGGTTAAATCTGAACAGTTTAACTGTCAGTTTGAACGTCTTGTAGCATAAAAATATTTTTTTTACAAATTTTGATACTCTTATGAGTTTGGTTGACTGAAATATTTTTTTTTAATTCACGTAGATTTTCAATACTAGATAGCAGTTGAGTGTTAATTAGTACAAATGTTTTTTCCGCTGTAACATTTCTGCGTAACAAAGACCGTGGTGGTGGATAGTTGAGTGTTAGGAGTTCGTCGTGTTGAAACGATATCGATAACATACGAGACGAATCGCCCCGAAATTTACTCGATACATACAATAATGAAAAAATAATCGAAACTCTTCGGTGATCTGGTTCTTTATTATAATTAGTATTTTATATATCGAAATAAAACCTTTTCCATAAAATCAATGCTGGTGTTATTTTAACATGGGACTACTAATCAATTAGCGACTAACATACCCCAGTAACTTTTAAATAATCGAAATATTGAAATAAAACTGATATCTCGTGGTGAAGGGTGGATACGATTAAAAAGTGATGTGATAGATTCTGCTTACCTCACTTTGGCTAATGGGGAAGGAAACAAGATCAACGTAATATTATTAACAATAATGACGGGCTACTAGCACATGTAAGTATATAGATTATTCACGTGTTTGCTTTTTACGTTGCTTTAAAAGAATGAACTGTTTCGCATGTGTAGTTGACAGCGTTTGTGCATATAAAAGTAATTTTTTTAATGTAAAATACGTTTAAAAATTACTTAGCTGTTTTTTTTTTTACGTATTTTGGTAATATGTAATTTGCAGCTATTCGGCTGCGGTGAAATTTGTAATATTAAATTCTTTTTTATATAAAATTATGTTTGACTTTTCTGTGATTTGTACGAAATTTGTATTAACGAGTTTAATTGTGAAATTTGAATGGTGCTTTATAGCTGTTATTGTATTTGTACTATAATTGATATATTTTTGTCTATGTATGTATGTCTTTTTGATGTCACAAGCAGAGAGCGACTAACGCCCGTGTGTTTTCTATTCAAGGTTGTTTTCTTCCTTATACAGACTTCAGTCCCGACGACTGGGGCCCAGAGTTCCCTTTAAGCACGTCTTCCAGATATACAATACCAATGCCTACGCTATATAGCACTGAAGGTAAGAAAAATTATATATTTTTTTTCTACTCAGAAATGTACTTACATATTTGAAAACTGCATATTACAGCTAAAAACTAGACATTATGTGATTGTAAATTATGCTTTGTTGTATTTAATATTTATTGTTAGATGTGATTAATTTAATGTTTGCAGGCTACAAGTACAAGAAGCCGAGTATAATAGAGCTAGTACTGTACAACATGGCTGCGCTGCTCGGCGGCGTCGCGGCCGGCTACGACGTGCGCGTCTCCAACGTCAGCCCGCTGCATCCCACCCTGCAGCCGCACAGGTACACTTAGTACACACTGGTACACAATAGTACACGTACACGCTCACTCATATGTTAATGCTAATTGTTTTCATACATAATTTCAGGCCAGAAATAGAACCTGAACCCTTGGCTTCGTCGCTGTACGAAGGCTACGGGTTCGCGCACAACACATACCACGGCCCCACGCGGCACCTGCGCGCGCCACTCAACGCCATCACGGGATCCCCTGTGAGTAACACTTCTATGTATCAATAGTAGAATTACATCGTCGATTATGATTGCATTGTTAAGATTTCTTGTCAACATTTTCAGCTGTCTAGTCTCCAAGTGGAGGAGCAGAAGCCGCTGCGCTTCACCGACTCCCCGACACACTACGCGCACGCCTCCTCCTCCTCCGGCTGCGGACTCTCCGCACCTCCGCTCTCCGGCACATCCGGCCTCGGCACCGCCTACACAGGCACCTCCGGCCTCGGCACCGCCTACACCGGCACACAGCCGCCCACGCCCTCGCCCCGGAGGACCTCCTCCACCTCCGACCACCTCGCGGACCTCTACCACAACTACAGAGAAAACTTTCAACCCTCCCCCTCCCACGATCGAATGCAAGACTACTACTACAGGAGCGAACCATACTCGTACGAGAGAACCGCAGACTACGTCGTCAAACATCCCTACTACGGATACGACGAGTGCTCGTTCGAGTATCGCGAGCCCCCGACCGACTATCGGCCCTCCGCGCCCTTCCCCTCGCACAGGAGGACGCCCTCCAACTCCTCCGCTACCAACTCGCACGCGGAGGAGTTCTCCCCCTCCCGCCAGCTCCGGATGGAGAAGTACCAGAAGGAGAGGCGAGAGGAGTACAGACCTAAGACTGAGTACCCGAGAAAATCCAGCGACTACTCTCTCCCCAGAGACTACTATAGACAGGAATCTCAGGAGAGAACGGAACCGGAGAGACCTGGGAACTTGGGACTGGAGCTGGCGCCGACTAAATTGAGATCCAGTTTGAAGAAGTACAAGAAAAGTAGTGCGTCGGGGGGTAGTTCCGGGGGTGGCACGCCTACCAACCCCACGCCCCCTGACAGCCTCACCAGCGAGACGGATAGCTCGTATGTATCCGCACGCGACGCCTCCAGCGGCTCGCAGTCCCGCGTGCGCTTCAGCCCAGAGACTATGGAGGGTGGGGAGCGCAGACCTCCGCGCAGCTCGTAGCGAAGGCTCAAGAAGTTCCACGACTACCTCGTCTGATGGGGTACTGCGTGGAACGATCACAAAAGTACAGTCAGCTTCATAAATATGTATACATTTATGAAATTTTAAACTCGTATGCTTCGGTTTCAAATATATGAATACATTAATCTATATGCTTGAATCAGAACACCAATATGTGTAATGAAGAATTTTTGAAACGTAAAGTTTTAAAGTTTTGTAAATGTATAAATGTTTATGAAGCTGATTGTACTTAGCTCCAGTTGGACTAGTGATGGACGAATTTATTGAGTGTTACAGTGTTTGAAGCTCCGTGATTTTCGCAGCTATATTCGTATATTGGGTTATTTTGTACGACCCAGTATTACTTGGCAACTTCAGATTTATTTAAAGTACTTAAAAATTTTAATAAGAAACAATTGTGAGAGTTAACATTCCTTTGAGTGAATTTCGTTAGTTTCTATGCAGTTTTTTCCCCTTTCCAATCATTTTAAATACTTTTATATCTTCTTTTACTCTATTTTTCGAATTCCATCTTATTTTAAACGCCATTTAATTTAAATTACGAACACCAATACTTTACATCACAATATTCAAATTTACGATACATTAAAAAACATAATGTTAAAAATGTATGGCTTCTTGAAATAATTCGTACTAACTTGTGAGAAGTTCAGAGACAAAGTAAGAGCTTTTTAACGCAATTGTGTTCATTTTAACATATTCGTGTTATGCACTGTATATTTTGTAAAAAATAATATTTTTAATGTGAAGATCGAAGATTTTGTGTTCAATTTAAAGTTTTAGATTAACAATAATTATTTTAATGTACGTTTTAACATAATTTTCAATCACACGGAACTAAAATAGTAGAAAACGGGAACATTTTGAACAAATTTTTAAGTAAAAACAACTTCTTTTTTCAACTTCCTTTTAATTACAATGTAAAAAAAGTTTTTTACAGTTGCTAGAAATTATGTATATTTAAAAACCTTTTGTTTGGTAAATTACGACAGCAAAATGGTGCTTACCAGTAGACTACCAGAATATTGAGAAAAGTTCCTTAGATAAGAGTCCAAAGTAGTACTGAATCTAATATACAGTGTATACTAAAGTAATATTCAGTGTGTACTAAATAATATACAGTGTATACTAATGTATTATACAGTGTATACTGAATAATATACAGTGTATACTAATGTATTATACAGTGTATACTGAATAATGTACAGTGTATACTAATGTATTATACAGTGTATACTGAATAATATACAGTGTATACTAATGTATTATTCAGTGTATACTGAATAATATACAGTGTATACTAATGTATTATTCAGTGTATACTGAATAATATACAGTGTATACTAATGTATTATACAGTGTATACTGAATAATATACAGTGTATAATAATGTATTATACAGTGTAGATGATCATATATGATGTATAATTTGTGTGAATAAAACTGGAACATACTCTCGCGAGTTGGTTAGTGTTGCCATTGTAGGCTGTGTGACCAGCAATAGGTTAGATTATGAAAAGATTGTAAGATACATTTGTAATTGAACATTCCCTTATATTTTTAATTTCAAAGTGTTTAAAAGCGACATTTTAAAAACACGGCCGAGTGACTTATGAAATGTAATTTTTACGAAATTTAAAAATAATTTGTATTGAAATTTTGAAATTCCCTACAAATATTCTTATTTGTACAACTGTGTTTATTATAATGTAATATGTCGTAGTATTAGTTGTTTGGATATTCAGGGTGCAAGTGGGAGGGGGAGGGGGGAGGCACAAAAGGGATATCTGTACAAATGTAAATAGCCATGTAAAAGCTTAAGATTATTTAAACTGGCATTTATTTCATTATAAATAGTACAAATATATTTTTAAGATATTTAGCGGATTTAGTATGAACATAATCGTGTCGTGTGTATATTTTAAATGACAATCATATAATATATTGAAATATAGATATACGCTTTTTGTACAAAGATCAAAAAATTAGATATTTTTTACTTTGAAAAAAAAAGGAAATTATTGTAGATATTGTAAGCAGCTTTTATATCCCACAGTGAAATAGTTTAGGTGAATCGATAACTAGTCGAGAATTCTGCAGTTTTTAATATACTGCTGTTGTCAGAAATGTATTGGAAATATTGAGTTATGTCGTCTCCTATTGTGAACAAAGATTCATTTACGTGTGACATACTAAATAACTAACAATTTTATATCTATACGAATATTATAAAGATTTTTATTTTTGGGGCGATTTCAAAAATTCTTTCACCTGAAAGGCAATATATCTGTGAGTAACATAGGACATTTTATTATTTTTTAATTTCACGCAGACGAAGTCGCGAGTAACAGCTTGTATGAAATGTTTTATAAAGTTCTTTAAGCTTTGAAGTGTAAAATACCAAAGCCAATTTTGTATTCGTAGATCATTATTATAAAGTTTATTACGAGTTTTAACTTCGATGTAGGCCAATATGGTTGTAAAACATAGTATTCTAAAAACCTCATTGATTTTAACATGGTAATGTATTGTCTGTAATATGTAAATGAATCTTTGTATGAGAATTATTTTTGTATTGTAAAAGGAGACGAAACGCTTTATTATACTAAAAGCGTAATTATTGATAGATCGTAAAGTTTGAATAATTGAAATTAGCTTTGATATTAAAACCAGTGCCTCTGTGTGTTTACTGGAGTGATGAGATTTTGTAAAGGAATTGCGTATTTGGTAGTTTTATTTAAAGACCAGGCATGGCCAGTATCGCGCCTAACATTCCTCGTGGGTTTTTTTTTGTTTTGTGCAATAAGTGAATTATTTGCGTCCATTTTGATTTTATTATTTTTTATTTTTACAGTTAATTTATATTTTTTTTTAAATCGTCGTGAATTCAACAGTATTTTATACAGTATTTGAGATTATTTTTATATGAATCAAGTGAATTTCTTATGTCTAAAATGTCTATGTTATTTTTTTTTACTGTAATACTATAGTTTATTTCGAATCTTTGTCTTCTAGCACAAACCAAATCCCAACCAAATTATTATAAGAATCTCCCGTTTATGTTAAAGAAGTCACAAAATATTGTTTCCCTCAGTTATATAAAGGTGTCGCTGCGAGCGCTGTACATATTTGTGATTCACGGCGTGTTTACTTAAGAACTCTAGTCTTGAATGTTTTATTTAATTGTTTATCTGGCTGGTTGTAGAGCGAGGTAGCGGTCGGCGGTAGGTAGGCAGGTACGGGGCAATCGGCCCCTCTAACATTCCATGTGGTGTGCGGGGCAGCGCCGACTGCACCCTGAAGGGTTCTGTGTGCCAATACGAGATGGAAGGATGCCTTACGTCTGTACGTTAAACCGACAAATAAAAACTAGATTAAGCTTTTTACCAAGTCTTTTAATTATACCCTCATTCCTTTATTATTAAGATAGGTTTTAAATCCCACTAAATCAGCGTTATGTGATGAAATATCTCTTATATATCTTAGAACTAAAATAAAAAATTATGTGAATAAAAATATCTAATGTGATTAGTGGCCAGTTTCCAAGCTATGTTTAACCGTTTGTTAGTGTCCTTGGTTCGATGAATTCTTGAAATGCGTTTTCGAAGAACCTAACTTGAGTTTTTTCTTTGAAATTTAGTTTAACCCAACTCTAATGAATACACTAGGTAATGATAAATAAAATGAAAATTTCTGGAACCCAGCATAGGCCATTCAAGTTAGTCAAAAGACTCAAATAAATGTGTTTAATGATATTTCCATCTGAAAAATCATAAAAAATTTAATCTTAGTTTATTTTAAATCCGGTATCAAGTAACTCATAGCTTGTTAGCTTGAAGGGAGGTTAAAACATTGAATTCATCAAAGTTATTTTGACCTGCAATTAACACTTCGTCACAGACTATGGTCACCCCATCTTTTTGTCCATGCGGTTACCTCGCATGCGTGCGTCGGGGAAAACCAACGTGTAGTCAATAAATTTCATGACAAAGATTTCGTGTCACATTCTGCGAAAGGGCGTTGCAAATTAATCACAAAACCATTTTAATTTACAAAAGAACAATTTAATCAATACAAGATATAATCCAAAACACTAATCTAGTGCGGTGTAAAAATATTCTTACACAACGTGTCTCAACACTTATTTACATAATTCATTTTTCCATTTCCTTCAGTTCGAAGTATTTAAAATAGAAATGATAAAATGTTCTTTCAATTACATTGCCTTTCATATTATTTTTAAGTTTATTTCATTGAAATTAACAGTAGTTGATAAATCAGACTTATTTACATACAGGGTGTAGTCCTGACACACCTTGTATATGCGAGATATCTAGTGACACCTCTAACCTGTATTCTTAATAAAAGTTTTGACAAGTATATTGAAAAAAAAATGATTATGATTTATCCCTCGGTTTCTCATGAAAATTAGCTTGTAAACATTGTCAAAACTAAAACTAAGTATACAGAATTGCTATCTTTAATAATTATTATGTACATCAATACCTAATAAGTTAAATTATTTTTCTGAAGTGTCTCTTTTACGAACAACGTACAAGAGGGTATAGCGATCAATTTTGTTGCAGACACATCCACTATGACTAAGGTCTCTTCAGGACATCATTTTTAATGACAACATATCCTTCAAACTTCAGCCGTATTCTTGTTACATTCTCAGACCCTGCGCCGCTCAACAATACAAACATGTATGGTTCATAACCAACTTACAGCTACATACTGGGATCACCAAAAATATCACAATAAAACATTTTCTCTAGTCTCCTATTACTTCGGCTTATTACTAAAATAATTTTTACTTTGACTAGTCGGGAGCGCCTTCGAAATATGCGATTACCATACATTTAAAAGGTATCATAAATTTGTTACATAATAGACATAAACTTCTATATAATAAAGCTACATTTACAATGCACGAAGAAAACTATAAAAAACACGTTTCCGTTGCGTTACTCATTACATATACAATCATGTCAAAAATAGGACAATGGAGTAAAAAGCATTTTTGACGTTAGAATCGCTAACGAACCTGAGCTAAATTGGAACTGTGCCAAAAAATAACAACAACATCTGATGGATTTATTATCTAAATAAGATCATTTTCATATGTGATTACTTTCTACAACGACTGTTTACAAACTGCTTGTATCAAATGCATATTTCCGTGAACTCATTTCGACTATTCGATAATCACAAAATAAATACAGCAGCACTCGTTCAACAAAAACCGCCTCGATAAACCTTATCTTACATATAGATTTTTTTTACAATATAATTTGCCTGAATTGTAGGCGATTTGATAGAAATAAAAGACTGACAATGCAATATATGAGGGATATTTATATAAATGAATACGTATAACATGCTACGTAATAACTGATAACAAAAAAACAAGCACATACAATATACATACGTATGTTGCATAAATAAAGATACAAATACTACTTTGTAATGAGCGATACACGTCGCTTGCGAAAACCTTCAAAATGTTTTTTAGTTTACGGTTGTTCGGATTCCTGCTACCGTTTACCATTTACTCCGCTAAGAAACTTCTTGTACTCAATACTGTAGTTTCTCATATAATGGAGTTTTAAAATTCAATTTTCTTAACATATGTAATTTATTTAACACTACCTGTTTTTAACTGATAAAATTATTAGCCTTGGCCTTTATAACACATATACTCCATTCCATTAAACAACTGATATCTGAATCTACGGAACAAATTCAGCTTTTGTAAACAAGTTTTTACCTCGTTTTATTTCACGATCGTTTTGTCGCTAACGGCAAACAAAAACGTCACTACCTACTGTGTTGAGGGTAAAATCAATTTAGTTCACATGCCACGTGGATTTAAAATTCTGTATTTTTTTGCATTACTCTAGAATGTTCTAGAATGTGAACCCACGAGGGTTTTTAAATGTTAATGCAAATTTTCAATATTAACATAGCGTGATGTTTTATTTTCGCATAAAACGAGCGAAGTTGTTTTACAACTTTGTTATATTACGAGAAATTTTCGTTTGACGTCATTTTACTTGATTTGGACAGAATTATATTCGTTTTAACTTTTAATCTAAGATTTAATTTGAAAAAACCTAACTTTTACAAAGGGGTTTATTGTTATTTGCATATAACGAACTGTAGTTGTCCAACAAACCGCAAGCTAGTTTATTTAATAAACAATTCCATTTCCTCATTTTAATGCAGTCGTGCAAAATATTTCAAGATCTGTGCTTGGTTTGCGAAAAATGCAGCGATCGTGTTACAAACTAAAGTCAATTGTCATATATATACGTACATACAAGACTACTTCCATGCACTTGATAAATCGGTGAATGCCCTTGCCGACCGGCGGCAACCTCTGCACGGCTACGCAAAACCCCACTACGATACAACTTTAATCGTATCATACTCAATTTATTAACAAACTCAACATTCGCTTATTAGATGTCATTCAAAACAAGTTCATTGCCGTAAAAATTTGTCGTTGACATCGTAATGTTTTTTCCACATTTTGCTTATTTCACTTTACATTCATCATTTAATGCAGATCTGTTTCTGATTATTTTTTTGATAAGTAAATGATAAGATTCCACGAATATGTACTGTAACTAAAAAGTTTAATCTTTACCGATTCATAACTATAATCAATGGATGGCTACACTTACGATAATCTTGTTTACTGAAGATATCATTGTAAATAATTCTAATCGCTGTCCGTCTATAAGATAAATCTCGTGGCGCGCCGCCCCTACGCAAAAGGACGCACAAAAGGTCGCCGCCAACATAAATATCTCTACACATTTATAGACTGTGCCCTTGAAAGAGGGCAGATGGAGTTTGAACTCTAGAAGGTTTTGTTTTGGCGAGCGCGAGTCGAATGGTTAGGTCGGAGTTATCGATCGCCAGCGACGACGGTCGTAGGTAGCGAACACCCGCGGCTTTGCTCGTGTCTACCGATGACTCATGTACGTAGAAACCTAATTGTGGAACCTTTACCCGGCAAATTAGTTTTGCCAACGTTTTTTGCTACTCTTTGCGTTTAGTTTCATTTGTACATTCTTTTAAAGAGCTTTAACATGGATTTTAGACGATATTAGATATTGCAAATTATCAGAATTGGATTATTTTATGAATAGATTATCTCTGGGTCGGTGTTATCGACAAAATGTTGCTGTTAGTCATCAACAGGTTGGCTCCACCCGCCGGGTGTCGGGTGGTAACTGAATGCACTCCAACAGCTAACGTTTTCGACGCGCAAACCTATTCGTTCGTTTTTATCGCAGGAAAATAACGCCATAAAATTTTTAACATCGTCCGCTGCCGACGTGCACGTATAGTGCGACACGATAAGCCGCGAGCCGCGACGCGAAATTGTTTACATTATTCAATACTTAGTTATGAATCTTCAACGAGTGTGTAAAAATGATTATTTCTATTGTACTGTCAGCACCACGAAGCGCTATACTCACTTTCTACTTTCCCTGCTTCGATCGTTCTTGGCGAAGGAAGTCTATAGGTTCAGGTCTTCGCATTGTCAATGTATGGGAGTGTCCTAGTCGATTCGTTCCGATTATTGCGTAAATCGATTTAGCGGCCACACACAGTGACGGCGACGATTTCTAATTAGCTAGGGTCCGGGTAGCACCCCCCTGCGGCTCAGAGAAGCCTTACGAGACTAGTCCGTCGCGTCACCCGCTGCCCCGGCCCGCCGCCGCCAATCATACGATAATTAATAAACAGTAGACGAAAATACGTCGACGGCAACACACGAGCCGAGCTGACACAAACAAAAAGTAAAGTGCTCTCTACACACGACATGCAACACTGAAGCGAGCCCACGCGGCCGGCGGACCGGCGCATACACTACATATCATATGTACAAGCTACTGCCACAAATAATTATATTTATGTATTATGGATAATTATTTATTACGTATACTATAAAGTAAATAGGGAGAGGACAGGGGATGAGTATATAGAAACAAAAATAGAGAAATATACAATAAATTCTATTTAAACATGAAGTTTATTAAAGATAAAAAAAAACATACAATGGTTCGTTTTACACAAAATAAAATACCTGGAGGAGGGGGAGTGTCGGTGAGACAGGCCCATACATAGTACAATAATATAATACCATATCATAAGATATAGGGATACACATATATACGATACTGTTAAGCAACTCAACTCACAGATAGTCATGTCGCGCTCTCGCGAGTAAAAAACTAGTTAAAATCTTACAAAAATACTTATGCGACTAATCTGAAATGCACGTAGAGGATCTCGTCTCGACTACAAAAATATTTTGAGATTGGAATGAAATAGTCACGTGGCCTGAGCGAGCAGGCGGGGCGCGGCCCTAGGTGCTCCTCTTCTGCGTCTTAAAGCTAACCGAGAGAACCTGCCCATTGAGCGTGAACCCGTTCAGCGTCTGAATGGCCATGGCGGCCTCGTCGTACTCGCGCATGTTTATGAACGCGAAACCTTTGTTTTTCTTAGTCTCGGGGTCTTTGATAACCTTAATAGAGTCGATGGCGCCGTATGGGCCGAACAGCTGCCACAGCGCCAGCTCCTCCGTGTCCTCACCGATGTTGTATACGTACACTGTGGTCTGATGGGGGCCGGCCGCGCCCAGCAGGGGCACGGGGCTCGCTGGCGCGCCCAGTAGCGGCAGCGGCGAGTGGTTCGTCGCCGCCATCGGGTTGAAGCGCTGCTGGCCCTTGTTGATGAAGGGTAGCGCCTTGCCCGGTGACGGCAGCAGCGGTGGCGGCGACGCCTGCGGGTAGGCGGGCCCAAAGCCACCAGGCCGCGCACCGAACGCCGCGCTTAGATTGGTGCCGTTGAAGGCAGGCGTCGAGCCGTTGAACACAGCTGCGCCGTTGTATGCAATTGTCGAGGTGCTTACTACTCTCTGTATAGACCGCGGTCCATTTTTGTTATTGTTTGGCTTGTTGGCGAACTTGACGAGCATGTTGCCCGCGCCGGGGAAGGGCGCCTGCCCGTTCATGTGCTGTATCGCGTCCTCAGCCTGCTGCCGGCTCTCGAAGCAAACAAAACCGATCCCCTGCGATACTCGACTCGTGGTTATATGTCCAAACTGGCAGAATAGGCTGTTGAGTCGTTCAACTGTCATGTCAGGGGGTAAATTGCTTATGTAGAGATTCGATTCCATGTCTGGTTTATGGCTGACCTTATTTTCCGGATTAAGTAGCGCGAAGGAAACTTTTAAAGTTTTTCCTTGCATGAGCAATCCGTTAAAAGCTGCCCGCGCCTTCTCTGCATCCTCGTGTTTTTCATACTCGACGAAACCGTAACCTCTGTTGGCGATCAACTTACAACTTTCGATCTTGCCCATTGCGGAAAACAATGCGTACATCATATCGCGAGTCATTAGCTCTGGTATATAATTGACCATGAGTTTGGTCGCTGACACATTGGGATTAGCGTCGCCGCCGCCATTCTCCATATTCATGTCGTTCGTTAACATTGTTCTTTTATCGTTCAAACTACACTACGTAAAACAAAACTCTAATAAAACTCACACAGATAGAAATTAATTAATTCATTTGCAATGTGAAAAAGGAACAAAGAACCAACACAAAAAATCTAAATGTACGAAAATGCCAACAGTTACGCCGGTTCACAGGTTCATCATCACACGACATGAACAAGTTTGTTTTGGAAATGTTACCATTTTACCAGAATTATCAATTATTGGTAGACAGACTATAAAACTTTACAGTACAGATTGCTTTAATTTTCCTCAAAATCACCACCTTCACACTAAGATTCAATTATTTTATAAAAAAAGGAATTGTTTATATCGTTATCGTTTTGAAATATTAACCAAACAGCATTTTAATGTTTTTTTCCTGAACGTGGCAGTGGAAGTGGCCTGTCATTTGAAAAAATCTTTGTTATCTTTGGTAAAAAGACATGAACAAAAACAAAACATAATAATTTAATTTAATTACTACAAACAATAAAATACTATAACGAGCAAAACAAATAGTAAACAAATCTTTAAAATTGGATAGGGATAAAATGAAAAGTTATAGTTAAACTAAAAAGTATTTTGTCAAAAATAATCATCATACACCAAAGAGCATAAAATAATAGCCAAAAAAGTATGTTTCGTTGTGATAGACTTCACTTTTTGACATTTCATTTTGACATGATTTTTTATTGAAAAATGTGAATGTGGTACGATTTTATGTAATAAATAAATAAACGTTAAATGTATATGTAAATAAAAAAAATCAATAGCCCATATTCACCTAAAACTTTGGACGCAGAAGGTTTTTGGATTGGAGTACTATAGTCTTGAACAATGTTCCTAACCAACGTTTTATTAAAGAAAACAAAAAGCAAGTGAGTATTTTATAAGTTATGATGTTAACTAGTTTTTTTTGCACTAATTATATTTTTAGATAATAAGTGGTGCTTACTACAGTAAGTACCACACTTGTGAAGTCAATATTCTATAACCGTCCTCAGTTAATTTGTCTATTCCTCTAACAACTTGAATAAGGTGATGTTTAAATAAGAATGAGTTAAAGTTAAGATTTGTCAGAACTTGCAAGGCTGATGACCTTCTGTGGTGTAATATGCTAAGACCATCTCTGTCTATTTATTTGATTTTTATATTTATGCTTTCTGCGCTAACCCTATGGGAATAGGATAAGGAGGAGGATGATGATATTTATGCATTGTTTCAGATTTATCATGGTATTAATGGAGAGTATGGTGTCAGGACATAAATTCACCGCCAAAAGGGAAAGGCTGGGGGATAAGCTAGAACTTTTACGTTTTGACCCATATAGTAAGTTATTTATTTAGCAAGGGGAGAGGGACGGAATGAGAACTATATGCACAGAAAGAGGCATGTGCTTCTGTCAAAACATCTATAAGACAAAAATGTGGGAAGGGAAAGTTGACTAAAATTAGGTGTCCTGTACGCTTATCACACTGTTTTTACAATTTGTATATCTTGTTTTCAGTTCAACATGAGAGCTTGTACAAGGAACGAAAGAAGATTAGAAGTTTTAAGTAAAATAGTTTTATATAGTTGTAATTAAGTTAAGGTAATGGTAGTGAAATAAAAAAGTTTTTAAATTGAAATGTATTTATTTAGTTATTGTACTTGAAAACAATAAATAGATCTTTGGAGAACATTTTTTTTTATAACTAACAATGTTTAATTTAACTAATACATGTCAATAAATGAGGTTATATCTCAACATATAGGAATAACTGCAAAAAAATATGTTTAAATTATTTAAACTTTCGTGAGACATTTTATAATTAATTATTTACTTACTCACGTCATACTGGTCGGTGCCTTTTTTGTGACTGAATGGCCACTGTTTGCCTTGAAGAGGCATTTACAGATTCACCGGGCTTGAGGTGGCCGAGCGCCGATGGCGCTTAGCCTAAACCTCGTTT